ATTTCTTTCACATAAGTACTATTATATTTATCTTTGCTGCTACTGTCATCATAACCCCAACGTGGGAGGGGGTGTTCTCCCCCAGAAAACTTTGAATGAAGTAGGTGCTGTTTCCTGCATTCTGGTGTGTTTGCACGTTGTTAAACATATTTTAAACTACATAAATAAACGCTTTCATAACTATTTTAGAGACGGATTGTGCATTTAACTCAATATATGAATCATCCTTTTTGTGTTAACATCCCATCATGGATCAGTCGCAGCAGCAGTATTCATTTCATGTCTGGATGGACGGATATCTACCTGCAGCAGGGAGAGACGCAGCGTGAAGAAGCCTCCTGTCAGTGCTCTGGGACCAGGGAGGAGCTCTCAGCAGCACAATGGAGAAATGTGTTCACGGCAGAGTCTCTCAAAGTCTCAATAACACCAGAAAAAAGTCACTAGATTTTCACTAGTTTCTTTTCTGAATAACAGTCTCTAGAGGGTCTGAAAAGTCTGTAAATATAGCGAGGAAGTCGCTAAATCATCACCGCTGTGTTCCACAACCCGCCACCTCTCATGTCAGCGAGCAGCGTGTCGGGTCGATTACGTCACATATCGGAGCGGTCAAATTATCGTACATTATGGGATTTTTGGGATTATTGATCCTACATCGTACAGAGGGCAAAATTATCGTACAAATACGATAATTATCGTACAAATACGATAATTATCGTACAAATACGATAATTATCGTACACCTGGCAACACTGAACCCACAGGAGACACAGAGTTGGAGCCATTTATCCTTTCTTGTATTTATTGCCACCAGGGGGCGTATTTAATTTTGAGTTTTGAGTGTCTGATGGGGGGATGGGTTATTAAAGGTCAATCATGATTCTGTTCAGGTGTTGTTAATAGGTAGAGGCAAACAGTTTTCTACTATGCTTGGTTTTGGATGTATGTCGAATTTATGTGGATCTTAAKGGAAACAGTAAGACAATGGACATTGTACTGAAAATAAATGACTATTTTAAGTCAAATGGAAGATCGGCATGCTGATTCTTAATTGAGCGCACATAAAACCAATGCCTTTCAAGAACAACCACCCCCTAATAAACCACCTAAAATATAGGATTTTAGCCGCTATACACAGCATTAACAGCAGTCATCATTTCATTCCTTGACCTTAGCAGCTCATTTAATTCCACAGCTGATGCTGCTAAAAATGACAGATTTTCTTTTCTGGATCTCTGACAGCAGGACTTCAATCTCCAAACTCGTAAAGTTCTTTTTTACTTTGCGATGTCATTCGTGAATGGACACTTCCTGGTATGTGTGACAGGAAGGGTTGTCTTATGTGTAATTATTAGGGTAGTAATTGTGCTAATCTCCTCTCCCCGTGCACGACTACCTGATACACATTCATCAGTTTATGCTGCTCATTTACACACTTTTCCTGAAGATAGAAGARTTGGTTGAATCTGACGTGGCGTGTTCGTACGAACCCTTCATACGAACAAAAGTAAGAGAAATTTATGATTAAAAAATACAAAAATGTTCCTACATGAGGCCCAAAATATTGTCAGGATAAGGCGCAGGAATGAATCCAGGTCCGGGCGAAGGAGAAAAGTTTGTAAAATAAAAATGTTTATTAACAAATATAAAACAAAAGGCTGATGTTGTAGCAAACTTACAAAAACTCTGAAGACACAAGGGAAACAACAAGGAAAACCAAAAGTTGGACMTAACAAACAATGAACTAGTGACTAATGAGGAGATGTGAACAGTATTTATACAGACAAAGAAGAGAGAAAATGAACAACAGCTGAGGAGAAGTAATTACTAAGAGTCAACAGCTGAGAGATGAAAATTGACAGGGAAACTGCAGGGAACAGACTGAGGAGAGTAATGACACAGAGAGAACACATGAGGGCGATATAACACAAGACAAGAGACAACACACCCTCACATACATAGGAAATAGGAAATAAGAATTAACAATAGCAATAAAAAGAAGTCAATAACAAAAAAACACTGTGCCGTTCTAGAAAGAAGCATGTTGGTCTCATGGTCCAAGGGGTGTGCAACTGAGTTATTTTCAACAATGTACATAATGTGCATGTGTAATAAATGTTGGAAAAGAACAACGGCAGACTATTTTCAGTACAGTGTATCAGTGCTGATAAACATGTGCAATAACAGCAGAAATGCTTTTAAATTCTGACTAAAATACAGAACTGGTGACTGAAAATATCAGCATGGATACTCATTGAGTTTGTTGGGAGCAGTGGAGGTTATAGAGTCTAATACAAAATTAATATTCTGAACAGTTGTTTTACATTTCAAACACAAGTCAACATGTATCAGAAAGTTTCTTAAAAGACAAAAGTTCAGGATTCATCTGGTTCTGACTGAGATATTTTCAGCTGTTTAGACTCAGACTGTTTCTCTGAGATACTGAACATTTCTATAGATAAATCCTGACACTTCTTTGTTCTGATAAAGACATAAACTACAACTATAATTATTATAATAAATAAAAACAACCCAACACCCAGACCAGTAAAGTGTTTCCATGTCCAGTCCACATTTTCTGGAGTCCAGGTTGGTGTGTGAGTTTGGAGCTGATCAGCAG